GCTAAAAAGCAGGGCTGTCCAAAGCACGGCCCGTGGGCCACATGCGGCATCCGGCTTATTATTGGCGCGGCCCGCGATGTGCTTCCAATCTACCACAATTACCCAATTTTGTGTCTTCATTGACAGACAAGTCACTTACAGACACTAGGCTTGGCAACAACTAATGTTAGTGTAGATATCCATATAATTATAAAAGAAAAATAAATATCAGCGTTTTACCTACCAATAAAACGCTTATTAAGCGATAACCTTATTTGAAGCCTATATTAAATATTTGAGAGAAGCTAACTTGATTTCCGGTAACGCGTCAGTTTTTTCTCGAATTCTCATTGGTCGTCCCCCACCATTTTAGTTCCCTCGCTGTACACCAGGTAGCGCTGCGCTCAGAAGATGGTTAGTGTCAGCGCCTTGCTTCATTGGATCTCAAATATATATATATGAAAATTTTCACCAGGCAGAATTGATTTAATAGGCTTCAAATAAGGTTATCGCTTAATAAGCGTTTTATTGGTAGGTAAAACGCTGATATTAAGCTTTGAACCGTTATTTGAAGCCTATATTAAATATTTGAGATCTGTCTGTTATCGCCTGGTGTACATGAAAAGCCAATGTGATACTATGTTAAACCAATTGGGATAATTTTTAAAATTACCAACAGCAGTTAAACAAATAGTAAGTGAAGTGAAATGTGACATAAGTTAAATGAGGAACAACCATGTATTTTTATCAATTTATTGTAAATAAATGAACTTTAATTACCACATACTTTATGACATAATCATTCCTATGCAGTACTAATCACAATTTGATAAAAATAATAACGATAAATTAACATGAACTGTTCAAATAAAAACATTTAATTCATGTTTAGCAACAGATATATTAAACTAATCAAAAAATCTACAGTAAAAATTAAACTCAAATTTCAAGCAATGTTTAAAATCAATCAGGCACAGGAGTAAATAATTGTAATACACCTTTAGAGCTAGACGGTAATGAAGTACTTTGAATTTCTCTGCAGTAATATTTTAGAAAAGTATTTCCTGATCTCCAATTCCCTCGTGCAAGTATGTCATCTAACGGACAATTTTGGATCCAATTTTTTGAAGCGACTGCGGGTCGACAACAACCTTGGCTAGCTTTGATACCTGCTTGACATAAAATCTTCTTAACCCAATTACCAATATTAGTACTCGAAGCTTCTTTTGGTTGACCACAAATTGTTAAGAATAAGCTAGTCTTTTTACAGATTGCACGTCTAGACTGAGACAACTCAATAACTTTCTGTATCCAAAAATATGGGTCTAGGGATTGATTATCTTTGTTTCTATAAATACGCCATCCTGACTGTCTATTACATACCGTGTCAGTTTTGGACCCAAATTTAGGCCAGAAAATTATTGATTCGTCCTTTAACAAGCAATTGTTGTCTTCAATATCCAGTAATGTAAGATCATGTACACGACGGCCAGAGCACAATAATAATAAGACAGCTGCACGCGCAGAACATTCAAATAAATTATTCGTGTTTGGCAAATTATTTTGTAACCAATCTGTCAGTACATCTGTATCCCATATTGGAGCCTTTGTTTTATTATTATTGACAGATTGACTATTACAACTAGCTTTCAAAGCTTGTTTTACCAACACATGTGAACTCAAACGGGATTCTGTACTAATACAACAACCCTAAGGTTGCATAAAACTGAAACAGCAGATTTATAGACTAAAATGGTTTTATACGCCAGTCCTTGTACTTGGTGTAGGTCTATAAGATACCTAGCAAAGTCCGCTCCAGTGGGTTGACTGATGGAGACAAAGTTCGCCTTCGCCCACGCGCACCATTTTTGCCATGCTACTTTATAGATAGTTAAAGTAGAATTCCGCCAACTTTTCTGTAAAAATTGTCTCTGCCTATCCGACCAACCTGTTAGATATTCCGTCCACCCCCATATCTCCATACCTCCAAATACATGTCTGGTGTCAGTGGAGGTGGCCGATTCGTTACTGTGTCGATCAGAACTAGTCCCAAGTTCCGTATTGTGAAAGGAGGATTCAGAGCGCGACTCTTCAAGTCTGGTCGCCAAAATACCTTGGTCCATCTCGGTGCTACAACCAAATATATTCCCGTTGCCGAGTTGAGGTGCTGTAATACCCGGGGAATTAGAAACGGAGGCGGGAATACCCATGCTAGTGAGAAGTGCCATTCCTGACTGAACGCGTCGTACAGATGTGCCTGCCGGTCTCTCACGTCCAGCGTACCGTAAACTGGGACAACGTGAGCTGTCGCTGATGCAAACAGGTCTATTACTGGAAGGCCCCATCTCGCAAAAATTATGGACGTAATTGTGGGTAGAAGGTGCCATTCTGGCGGACGAATTGAACGTGACAACCGATCCGCTTCTCCGTTGTAGCGGCCTGGAATGTAATGGGCTTCTACGTGAATATTGAACCGATCCAATAAAGTGAAAATCTTGTATGTAATTTCCATCAAAGGCCCCGACTTTGTACCCCCTTCGTTTCGCAAGTACGCAACAACTGTGCGGTTGTCGCTCTGTATTAGCATCGAAGATCCCACAAGGTGCGGACAATGATCTTTTAATGTGTACCACACAGCCCGCATTTCTCTTTGATTGGAATGTAAACGCCCTACCTCTAGCGTCCATTGGCCCGACAACCTGAGATTGTTCAGCTGAGCTCCCCATCCTACTTCTGAGGCGTCTGTAACCAGGTAATTCGAAATGGGAGGGAAATGAAGGAGCGAGGGCAGAGTCAGGTTAAGTTTCCACCAATCCAACTCTTTCAAGGCAGCGGTTGGTATCGGAAATTGCAGCCGAGGATTGCAACGCAGTAACTGCTGGCAATGTTTCAGGAGAGCTCGATGATGTAAGCGTCCCCTGTACACTGGAAAACTGGCAAAATTTATTGACCCGACTAAGCTTTGAATTTCTTTTAGATTAGCCCTTTTTCTTTTTACCATTGTCAAAATCTTTGTTAGAAGATCCCCGCACTTCTTTATCGGTAAACTTTTTAGATTTGCATGAGTATCCCAAACAATTCCCAGATATTTTACATTGGTTTGTGGTACTAGGACCGACTTTTGGAAGTTTATTTGCCAACCTAGTTTCTGTAGAATGCTCAGAGCATCCCGAACTTGTTGCTTTAGGAGCAGAGGATCTTGGCAAGCTAATAGATAGTCGTCTAGGTACACCACAGTTCGAATGCCTTTCCCCCGAAGAACTTGTGCCACCCAATTCGTAAGAGATGCGAAAATTTTTGGTGCACATGCTAGGCCGAAAGGTAGACACGTCATTTGCCATAGATGACCTTTGTAAATAACTCTGAGAAAGCATCGATGTGCTTTGGACACAGGTAGGTGGAAGTAGGCATTGGACAAATCTATCTTGGCTAACCAATCCCCTGGTTGCAAAAAGTTCACTATTTTGTGCACATTTATGAGCCTGAATTTGTCCACAAACACATAATTGTTTAGGCTTTTTAAATTGAATATTGGACGCATGGATCCGTCGTCCTTCGGTATTAGAAATATTTGTGACACAAAACTGGGGCTGAGCAGAGTCGGCTCTATGACCCCCATTTTCATTAATTGGTCTATAATTAAGTCCATGTCTTTCGATACTGGAATTTGAAAACGATGGGAGACTGGGTCTGGTATTACTAATGGAGGCCTGGCTAAAAATGGGATGCGAAAATTCTGTATAATCTTTATTAGCCCTAGAGGCGCTTGTAGGTATTTCCAATGTTCCAGGAATTCCGGTAAGCGACCCGCGCGGAATGGGGTAGAGTCAATATTTTCTTTTTGATCGACGTGATCCTGACTGAACAGATTGTTTATTTGATCCCCTACCTGCGTTTGAGTACATCTCTGAATTTTGAAAATTTTGTGATCCTGGCCTTTGACGAAAGGGCCTTAATTGTTGCAGCTGATTTGATCTAAAGGTAGGGCGGACGTATTCTCGTCCTTGACTATTAACATTAAAAGTATTCCAGGCACCTTGGAAAGGTGGCCTATTTATATAATCAAATTGAGGATAGTAACAATTAACTGCACTAGGCATTTCTCATTGCATGACTAGGTGTGACCTGAGTCTGCTGATGGGGCTGTGCTTGCGCAGAAGCTTTATTTTGTGTCGGCGCTCGGAGCGGCCAGAAAAACTTTAGACATACCCCCAGATTTTTCGATAGCAGTAGAGAAAGATTCCTTATTAAAAAGATTCTCACTAGTGGGAGGGATTTTACGTAAACTTGACTTCAAAAAACTATCTTTTACTGAACGCAAAATATTATCACGCCTTTGTTGTACTAATTCAGCTCTGTGACCAACAAGCTAACTGTAAAAACATCGCTACTAATTTTTTGAAAATTTCCTTTTTATAAATAATTCATTCACTTTTTTCATGCAGTGATTTAGCAGTGATATTATTACCTGAGAAAACTTGCCCACTCAATTAAAGCTGTAAAAGCGCTCTGTGCGGCTTCATTTTTGCATAATAAGAGCCTGTGTAATGGCAGCGAAACCCCGCTCAATAAGCGCAAGAGATGAATATTTATCATATGATTTGATTTCTTCATTAGTGTCTAAATATGTAAAACCCGGAGCAGAACAGTACTGCTTTTGCACTTCTGCATAGCGTACGTTGTTCCAATCTTCAGTATCAAAATGTTGTATTGAATTAATTAACTTTACGCGAGCCTGAGAAGACCTTTTGTATTGTTGGTTCTTTCAACACAGTATTCAGAGAAAAATTGAAACTAACGGGCAATTCAGAAGTCTGCACTGGCTCCTGCGTACAATTCTCACGGGTATATAGTTCACAACTAACATCTGCAACTAATATCTGAATCAATATCTATGTTTTTGTCCTTGGTCAGGCACGTAAGCACTAGAGTGACATGTAGGTTGAAAAGCAACGCTACTGTTCGCAATATAATTTTGTATACCACTTACTTGTTGAGCCAAATAATGTATGGTTTCTTCAGAGACGTTTTCTCCTTTTTTCACTGCGCTCCTTTGAGCCTGAACGCTTCCGTTTTCGCTGTGTTTGGCAAGGAGCAGGCGTGGTTGGCAGGGCACTTGACTTGGCCCGTTGCGGCTCCTGCTCATGAACCTCCACTGCCACCGTTTCCACGTTATGGGAACTCGAGCAAGAAGAGGAATCAGATAATTCGGAAGAATCTTCACTCATACTTAAAGGAAAACGAAATTATTTAAAAAACAAAATAAAATAAATACCGAACGATAAAATCGTTTAAAATATATAATATTTAAAAATATACTTATAATATACCATATCCAAAATATAAGTGTTATAAACTCACTTGTAGATTTTAGACACGACCGACTGTTACGGAAAACAAATCGCCAATGAAGCAAGGCGCTGACACTAACCATCTTCTGAGCGCAGCGCTACCTGGTGTACAGCGAGGGAACTAAAATGGTGGGGGACGACCAATGAGAATTCGAGAAAAAACTGACGCGTTACCGGAAATCAAGTTAGCTTCTCTCAAATATTTAATATAGGCTTCAAATAACGGTTCAAAGCTTAATATAAAGTATATAAAAAAATGAAGAACTAATAAGATTAAATTTAACATAATTACCATATTTTTATTGTTTCTCCAAAAAAATTATTAATATATGTAATTTGTTTATTTCTAGTTTTCTATCTATGTAGTGATTTGTATTGGCCTGCGATCGTATCTGGTCCGGACAGCCCTGCTGTAAAGCATTCGAATAGTCAAGAAAAATCTAAGGATGATACCACATCAAAATCTGTCCAGTGGTTTTCTCGTGATGCGGTAACAGACAGACAAAAATTCTAAAAACTATAGATTCGGACTCTGTATCGATAATAATGTCTATTTCAATAAGATTTTCCAAAAAATATTTAATGTACAGATTCGACTTAGTTACAATTTTATTATATGTATAAACTAGCGACTCACCCTCGCTTCGCTCGGGTTCGTCCCTAACTTGCTTTCCAATACAATCTTACATCCCCATTTTTACCCCTTTAAGGGATGATTTCCGGGATAAAAAGTATCCTATGTCCTTCCTAGTGTCTCAAACTATCTTCTTACCAAATTTCATCTAAATCGGTTCAGTAGATCCAGAGATTACCCCTCACAACGTCACAAACTCACAACTCATAACCTCACAAACTCACAAACTTTACCTCTTTATAATATTAGTATAGATTGCAAATGCTATTCCAATCACACGAGGACACAACATGTACAAGTACGATATTAAATTGCGTACATAATTTTGTGTTAATATACACAGGAAGGAAATTACTGTTATAATTCAAAATTCATTCACATACAATTAGTCCTATCTATATCTTGTTTGGGAACAAAAATATTGAAAACCTGAAGTTTTATGCTTTTAAAACGTTAGCGGGTATATAAGAAATAGAAAGTCTTCCAACAATAAAACTTAAAATAAAAATTAAAAGCGTAATAATAAAAAAAAGATAATAAACGACAATTTGCTAATAAAACACAGGTGATTAATAAAAACATCATTTTAATATAGCAAGCTCGTGTAAATAGAGAGTGTAACCATAAATTACTAGGCGCGGGCAATTAGTCGCGGCCACGGGGAATTTATAGTCTGTAATCGTCCTATCCTGTCAGATCTCTGGCAACTGCTGGACGTCGGTTTTTTCATGAATTTTTTCCACTTAATTGTTCCTCAATTTTCAAAATACCGAGATCTAATCTATATACGAGATCTAAACTATTTATATTATTTACCGTATCGTATATATAGTTACATCAGCAATCAGTTTTTTAGAAATACATTCGTTACAAACTAGTAATTACATTAAATTAAAATTATTGAAGCGCGTGTTGATTGTTTTCACGCCCTCATGAGAAGAAGATGTGGGTCTCTGGTGCGTAAGGTACGCGGTAGTGCCAACAGAATCCTGAGCATGATAGCAAATAGACTGGATTGCATATACATGAATCGTTGCTGTGCCGTTGCAAACGGAATGGTGCAGCGGTGATTCGTGTCTATTGTAACATTTATTTAAAAAAAAATGTAATAATACAACTAAACTAGTTTCTAAGAAATATTGTTTACTAACCATAATTAGTCACTGGTCACTTGAATAAAGAATATTATTATTATATATTATTATTAACTTATGCACTTGTAAGAATGTATATATGTATATTGTATATATTGACAGTAATGTTGTTTAGGTATTATTTATATGGGGTTGTGTAATGCTAATAATTCATATGTTTAATTTGCCTATAAATTCATAGTTTTTAATGAACATCTACATTTAACATATAATAGCATCATAGTAATAACTGTAATTGTAAATTAAAAAAAAATACAAATATATATACGTATATATAGAGTTAGTAGAATATAATATTTATAATGTATAATGTTGAACCCAGAGTATAAAGTTCGTAGATATAATAGATTATAAGTAATTGGAAGAGGCTTTCACAGAATTAAAATACAAATAACAACTAACAACTTTTATAATAAAATAGAGATATATTTTATAAACATGTTATTTTTAAATCTGTATATTTATTTTACGCTATTTAATGATTTGAGCAATTAATTCGAATTCATTGATTATTATTTCGGCACAGTACTAATGACCGTTATGGGAATTAGTCGCACGCCAACAATAAATTAATTTTCATGCGATAAGGCTAACCCGTCTGTTTGTGACAAACCAAGTTTAAACTCGAGTTATTTTGTATAGATATAGTCTATAACATCAAAAATATCTATTGTTTATAGTTACACTCTGGATTTTTTTTAATTTAAATAAGATATTTGCATTATTTTATTTTTATTTTATGTGGTAACGCGCTCACTTGGGAAATCGAGTGAAGCGGGTTCAAATGCCCGGTCTCGCACCTTTGATATTTTCAAGTGCGAATCGTTGGCTCAGTTTGTAGTGACCCTACTTGCAGTGCCAGCGGTCGCGGGTTCGAGTCCCGCTGGGCGCATTCATTTGTGTGATGAGCACGAATGTTTGTACCCCAGTCATGGGTATATAATATGTATGTATTTAAAAATAATTTAAAAATATATATGTGTAGTGTATCAACTATCTGGTATCCATAACACAAGCCGCGTAGCTTACTATGGAACTAGATGGTGCTGTGTGTTAATGTCCCAACATATCTATTTATTTATTTCCAACAGGATTACGACGTCTTACGATGACAAAACGTGAGGAAACCTGCATGTCTGAGAGAACCTAGCAAGTTTTCGAAGACGTGAAGTTCGCCAACCTGCACTTGGCCAGCGTGATGGACTGTGGCCTGATCGCCCTAGTATTGAAAGGAGCCCTATGCCCCACTGTGGGACTTGAAAAAAAGGGCTGAATGCATATTGGAAATTACTAAGGGTTTATGCAAAAGTTGCAAATATATGTACGTATATTAGATTAAAAATCATAAGATACTAAAAGCAATATGTATTGTATACTATATGTTTCAGAGGTTGATTACAAACATGCTTTGTTCTGTCGCTTGGCATGCCATTTGGACACAGTTTACTATGCCAATTTCGTGTAGATTGGAGAAGAAGCGGGAGAGATTAAGTATTGTTTGGTTTAAAAAAGAGACACTAAGGTCTGATAACATTTCATTTATGAGAAATTGATTGTAAAATCTGGACCTACAATAAACAATCTATACTAATATAATAAATATGAAATTTGTGAGTATGGATGCTTGTTACTCTTTCACGCCAGAACGGCTGAACTGAAATGAAATTTGGCACAGAGATAGATTAAAGTCTGGAATAACACATAGGCTACTTTTTATACCGGAAAAAGATGTGCTTCCCAAGGGATAGATTTGTTTTTATTTTATTTTTATTGTAAACTATATTTATAACAGATTCTAATTACTTTTTTTATAAATTATAATTCAGACAACCTACTTATTGTGACGCAGATTGGCAGCTGTCAACGGAGCTCCGTTGCTCCGTCTAATAATCTAAACAATTTTGTCCATCGTAATTTATATTGATTATTATTATTGAACAAAATATTATTTTTAATAGATAGTATACATAAAGAAATTTAAGCTAAGCATTTTATTTGTGCTTTTCGTTCGTCGTTCGTTTGCCTGTATGTCTGTTTGTCAGTTTGTCTGTTGTTGTTTGTAGGGGCTAATCTCCCAAACTGTTGGACCGATTTAAATGAAATTTTGCATGGTGATACCTTATATCCCCGGTCAACATCTTAGATACTTTTCATCCTAGAAAATAAAAGAGTTCCCGTGGGATATTTAAAAAACTATAGTATCTTATACAGCTTAGTACACAACAACTTATGCACCTAATTTAGTTAAATTTAACATTCTGATACCTTATATTGCCGGTCAAACAACAGGTTACGTTTCATCCCGGAAAAATGAACGGTTCCCGTGGGAACTAATAGATCCCTATTAGTGTTTTTCTAGACGCGAACAAGAGCGAAGCGAGGGTGAGCCGCTAGTTTTTCTAATAAATACGTAAGTCAAAATACACACGAAATGGTTAAGGCAGACAATATAGTGTACGTTTTGTTTCACTTTCCCGAGGGAATGAGATGTTTTACTGGAGTAAAAAGTAGCCTATTTTTCATGCTAACCATCCAATCTTGATTCTGAATCAAGAAGCGTATATCTCACATCGATTTGTTGCTCTGAAAGAAATAAAATGTAAATACGAAAATTTCGATTGCCGTGACAGTGGAAAGTGCGTTTAATTCATTTATTCTGTCTATTCTAATATTATAAAGAGGAATATTTTGTTTGTTTGTATTGAATAGGCCCGAAACTACTGAATCGATTTAGATGAAATTTGGTAAGAAGAAAGTATGAGACCCTGGGAGACATAGGATAGTTATTATCCCGGAAATCATCCCTTAAGGGGGTGAAAATGCGGGTCAAAGTTTGTATGGGGAAGTAAGCTAGAGACGAACCCGAGCGAAGTGAGGATGGATCGCTAGTTTGTAATAAATATCTTTAAATTTTGAAAGCGACATTAGGTAATTAATCCTAGAAGCTACCATAAACTAATAATGCTAATTTTTTTACGTACCAAAGCTGGCGTGAAATGTAAGACATGTCGTTCTTATATAATAGCATTCTATTTATATCTATTCTCTGTTTGTCAACCGACTTTTTCATTTATTAGCTATCGACGAGC